TACATCTCACTCGATTAATTAATGAACGTCTTACTTTCCAAAAAATACCTTGTTTGTTTCGAATAGTGTTACAACCGTCCCTTACACGTTGTTCTAGCTCTTCGACATTGTTAACTGGTGTTGCATACACTAAATATTTAAGATAACCCCAGAGAAAGAAGTCTATGGGATTTAAGTCTGGCGAACGTGGGGGCCATGCTACGGGCGCTCCTCGACCTATCCATCTTTCACGGTAGGTTTCATTTAAATATTGCCGTACTTGAACGCTGAAATGAGGAGGAGCCCCATCATGCATAAACCACATTTCCCTTCGTGTTTGATACGGCACTTCTTCCATCAGTTCAAACAAGGTATTTTGCAAAAAGTTAAGATAAGTTGTACCGTTGAGACGGTTATCAAGTGCATGCGGACCAATTAAATGGTCCCCAATAATACCAACCTATACATTAATAGAAAATCTTTCTTTTATGTTTCGTGGCTAAAACATTCTATGGGTTTTCATCGGCCCAAACATGGATATTATGGAAGTTAATAACGCCATCTCGGGTAAATCCAGCTTCATCGGTAAACAACACTTTTTCCGGAAAATTTCTATCATGGCGCCATTGTTCCATAATCCAACGACTGAACTGTAGTCTTGGGATGCTATCGGTGGGTTTTAAGGCCTGCACCTTTTGAAAATGATATAGATGCAGTAGCTGATCTTTAAATACCTCCCAAACGGTGGTTTTCGGCACATTTTCTTGTACCGATAATTTAATCTCCTAGTGCTTGCTGTAGGATTGATAGCTATTGCATCGAGCACCCTTTCTTCCACTTCTACAGTCCTCGTAGTGCATGATCTTCCACAGTCGTAACGATTTTCCTTAAAGCTCCCAGTTTCACACAATCTTCTATGAATAGAAGCGAACGTTTGTTCACAGGGAAGTTGTAGATTTGGATATCGTTCTGCGGACAATCTTCGTGCTTCTCTGGCATTTCCATCAGCTCTACCGTACGTAAAGTGAATGTTTGCCATCTCTTCGTTTGAGTATTGAACCATTTTGATTTAATTAAACGTAAATTATAATGGTTGTTGCACTAAAATAATTTTTTATCGACCGCTTGACAGCAAAGATCAACAAATGAAAGGAGCCTACTAAGATTTTTAGTGATAGTTTAATACACATGTTTGTGTGCTGTATTTTACTTAGTATTATTTATCTTGAAAACGAGTGGTCGTAGACCATTTTATAAGCAGATCATTTTTTATGTATTTTTTTTCGTAGATTCTAATTTTGAGGTTAAAATAGTGAAAAGATCAAAGCAAAAAAAAATATGGGAAATAAATTGCGCCCCCTATCCCTTATTTCCGAAAACTGCACATTCCTTCTAATTTTTCATTCGATTATCGTATTCGCCCCGTAAAAATAGCTATATATGCAAAATTTCGTGTTTCTAACCCTAGTAGTTTTTGAAATAATGAGAAATAACCACATATTCAACGTCTTCTTCAAAGCGCTCTACCTCCCTTAGGAAGCATTTTAAGACACATCTTTATATGAAGTTTTCTTCATGATTTTTTATGTAGAATCACACCTTTAAATATATGAACGCAATTTCCGGGCACCCTGTATAAATCAATCACAAAAAATACATTGATTTATTTTTAGACTCATCAATGTCACAATAAAGGAATCACCGATTTCGTCTTTTTAAATTCATGCAGTTTATTAGCAACGGGTAAAAATAAAAAATTGATTTATTTACTTTTTTAATAATTATTTTTGTAGCTGGGCATAGTTCTGAAAGTAAAAACGTTTGTATTTGGGATACGATCCTTCCGAAAGGAAAGTGTTTAACGGTGGCTTTAACCTGTCACGAACAAGGCGCTAGCAGCATGGTTTACGCCCCTCAACACCAAATTTTAATAACCGCGGGTAAAAAGGGCGATATCTGCCTCATTGATACGCGTTCAAAAACGATTCATCATCGATTCCAAGCACACGAAACAGCCGTTAAATGCCTCGCGATTGATCCGCATGAAGAATTTTTCGCCACCGGGTCTGCCGATGGAGATATTAAGGTTAAATTTTTAATTTTATTTAAATTTTTTAATTTATTTCTTTTGTATTAAAGATTTGGGGTGTTTCCGTGCCAACTCTATTAATGTCCTTCACTGCGGAACATGCCAAAAGTAATTTCTTTAAAAATATCGGGCCTGGAGTTACTCAATTACACATTGATGCCCATGCAAGATTATTTTCTTGCGGAGCTGATGGTAGTATGAAAATAAGGCAATTACCTGATCGGGAAACGCTTTCTAATAATCACCATTAGTAAGAAAAATTAAGCTTCAAAATCTAACCTTCAAATGTTAATCGTTAAAGATTTAATCGTCAAAGTATTTATGATATATCGATAAAGTTGTTTAAAGTAAGCTAAATGATGTGTAGATTTAGAGATTAAAAAACGTTTAATTAAGTTAAAACTTGCTTATTAGTTATTGTTTTTTGTTGTTGTTAATTTGCTGTGAATTAATTAAGAATTAAAACAAGATAAACGAAAATTAATCATTTTTTTTAGCAAGAAAGAAAATGTACAACTAAATTTTGGCGGTAAGAAATTTAAAAATTGTTCCTTTATGTCATTAAATTCCTTCCTTAACATTAAAACGATTTTAGAACAAATTCATCAATTAAATGAGTATTGAGATAAAATAAATGTTAATTAATAAAAAAAAAGACTTTTATTTAATCATTTTAATATATTTTTTGAAGCGTAAATAAAACATGCTAATTTTAAACTTATGTTTATCCAAGATAGAAAGAGAGCAAAAAATCGTTGATAACTTCACATCAAAAAAGTCGTTTGATTCTTTTCGCTTGGTCGATTTTTTAACTCATTTACAAGAGTTTATCTTAATATTCTTCGATTGCATAACTTTTACGTTTATCTAGGTCGTATTTAATACGGTACAACGATGAAAATGTGTTAGTTCGCAAAGAAAACGTGAAACCATGGCACCTATTAAAGAGGATAACCTCACAGCCGTTTTATACGGTATCAACGATATTCGTTTGGTGAGTAACAAAATATTGATACGTTTATTTTGATAAACTATTAAATTGTGTCTTTGTTTTTTTAATAAATGTTCTCTTTTTGTTGGTTATATTGATTTAAATTTATTGATTTTTAAGTTTTTATTTTTAATGATTTGTTTCGTGTAAACGAAGTTATAAACTCGTTTAAAAATAGAAAAAGCGATAAAATTATCGTTAACGTTTTAAACTTTTGCAATGTTATAGAATGTTATAAACTTTTATCCTTGAAAATGTTTGTTTATAAAAATTAAAATTTTAATAGGAACAACGACCAATTCCAGTACCCGGAGATAATGGTAAGATTATTTAAAATTGTTTAAATAATATTATTTAATAATTAATTTTGAAGATGTTTTATTACGGATGGAATCTGTTGGAATTTGCGGTTCGGATGTTCATTATTTAACAAGAGGCGAAATTGGACCGTTTGTTGTAAAACAACCCATGATAATTGGTAAATTTATTAATTAATAATTCTTAAAATTATCTTAAAGCACTAAAACGTTATCTTCAAAAAAGTTTACGTCATTAGTATTAGCGCCATCTATTAAAATTTATTCAAACTAAATTTTCTCTTCTACAGAGTAAGTTGTGAAATGTCAAAATTAACCGTCAAAATCAATATTTACTCATTTTTTTCTATAATACTTTTCAAATTGTTGTAAAGTTGATAAAATTAATAGAGAATCATGTTTTGAAATGAAGTTATGTCTCAATGATATTTAAACTTTAGATATTCAAAGACATTTTCAAAAAGTTTACATCACTAACGCCATCTATTAAAATTTATTTAAACTAAATTCCTCTTCTACAGAGTAAGTTGTGAAATGTCAAAATTAACCTTCAAAATCAATATTTACTCATTTTTTTCTATAATACCTTTCAAATTGTTGTAAAGTTGGTAAAATTAATAGAGAATCATGTTTTGAAATAAAGTTGTGTCAATGACATTTGAACTTTAGATATTCAAAAACATTTTCAAAAGGTTTACATCATTAACGCCATCTATTAAAATTTATTTAAACTAAATTTCTTCTTCTACAGAATAAGTTGTGAAATGTCAAAATTAACCTCTGAAATCAATATTTACACGTTTTTTTTTCTATAATACCTGTCAAATTGTTATAAAGTTAGGAAAATTAATAGAGAATCATGGTTTGAGATAAAGTTATGTCTTAATGACGTTTGAAGTTTTCAGAAAATCAGATTTTTTCCATTTTTTTCTATAATACCTGTCAAATTATTGTAAAGTTGGTAAGATTAATAGAGAATCATGTTTTGAAATAAAGTTGTCTCAATGACGTTTGAACTTTAGATGTATATATTCAAAAAGTTTACATTATTAGTGCCAACTTATTAAAATTAGAATTTTAACTATTGAAATTTATTCAAACTAAATTTCCTCTACAGAGTAAGTTGTGAAATGTCAAAATTAACCACCAAAATCAGATTTTTCCCATTTCTTTTCTATAATACCTGTCAAATTGTTGTAAAGTTGGTAAGATTAATACAGAATCATGTTTTTAAATAAAGTTATGTCTCAATGACGTTTGAACATTAGATATTCAAAAAGTTTACATCATTAACGCCATCTATTAAAATTTATTTAAACTAAATTTTTTCTTCTACAGAGTAAATTGTGAAGTGTCAAAATTAACCTCCGAAATCAATATTTACACTTTTTTTTTCTACAATAACCTGTCAAATTGTTATAAAGTTAGGAAAATTAATAGAGAATCATGGTTTGAGATAAAGTTATGTCTCAATGACGTTTGAAGTTTAGATATTCAAAAAGACATCTTCAAAAAAAGTTTACGTCATTAATATTAACGCCATCTATTAAAATGTGTTTAAACTAAATTTCCTCTTTTACAGACTAAGTTGTGCAATGTCAAAATTAACCGCCAAAATTTGATCTTTCCCATTTTTTTTTCTATAATACCTGTCAAATTGTTGTAAAGTTGGTAAGATTAACAGAGAATCATGTTTTTAAATAAAGTTATGTCTCAATGACGTTTGAACTTTAGATATTCAAAAAGTTTACATCATTAACGCCATCTATTAAAATTTATTTAAACTAAATTTTCCCTTCTACAGAGTAAATTGTGAAGTGTCAAAATTAACCTCCGAAATGAATATTTACACTTTTTTTTTTTACAATACCTGTCAAATTGTTATAAAGTTAGGAAAAATAATAGAGAATCATGGTTTGAGATAAAGTTATGTCTCAATGACGTTTGAAGTTTAGATATTCAAAAAGACATCTTCAAAAAAGTTTACGTTTTTAATATTAACGCCATCTATTAAAAGGTGTTTAAACTAAATTTCCTCCTTTATAGACTAAGTTGTGCCATGTCAAAATTAACCGCCAAAATTTGATCTTTCCCATTTTTTTTTTTTCTATAATACCTGTCAAATTGTTGTAAAGTTGGTAAGATTAATAGAGAATCATGTTTTTAAATAAAGTTATGTCTCAATGACGTTTGAACTTCAGATATTCAAAAAGTTTACATCATTAACGCCATCTATTAAAATTTATTTAAACTAAATTTTCTCTTCCACAGAGTAAGTTATTAAATGTCAAAGTTAACCTCCAAACTCACATTTTACACATTTTTTTTGTATAATACTTGTCAAATTGGTAAGTTTCAGTCAAATATTTTGAAATCATGTCTCAATGACTTTCGATATTCAAAAAGACAATTATCTAGTCAACGAAAATGACATAAATTTCCTAGGGACCCTAAATAATACCAATAGAAACCCTAAAAATTTGACTTTGACAGGTAATTAATGACAAATATTTAACAAGTTTTATTATTTATTCTATTAAAACTTGAATAATATACTTAAAAACCATTTTTACAAACCCCTATAATAATTGTTTTAATTTTTAGGTCATGAAGCTTCTGGAACAGTTGCTAAAATTGGTAAAAATGTGAAACACTTAAAACCAGGTGATAGAGTTGCTATAGAACCGGGAGTTCCTTGCAGAATATGTTCATTTTGTAAAGAAGGTCGCTACAATTTATGCCCAGATGTAATTTTTTGCGCAACACCTCCAGTTCATGGAAACTTGGGTCGATACTATGTTCACGCAGCCGACTTTTGCTTCAAGTAAAAAACACACTCTTTAATTTTAAATTTATTCCCCAAACCCTTTTTTAGACTCCCAGACAACGTATCTTTAGATGAAGGCGCATTATTAGAACCACTTTCAGTTGGAGTCCACGGTTGTAAAAGAGCTGGCATAACAGTGGGATCAATCGTCTTAGTATTAGGCGCAGGCCCCATCGGTTTAGTCACGATGATGTGCGCAAAAGCTTTCGGAGCTTCAAAAGTTTTAATCACCGACGTTTTCGATCATCGCTTAAAACTAGCTAAAGAACTCGGCGCCGATTACACTTTACAAATTAATGTGGACGCATCCACCGATGATTTAGCCAAAAAAGTAATCGAAACTCTCGGTTCCGAACCGAACGTAAGTATGGATTGTTGCGGGGCCCAACAAATGGTTCAATTGGCAATGAAAGCAACGAAAAGCGGCGGTGTTGCCGTATTAATTGGAATGGGGCAGAACGAAGTGACTTTACCATTAACGAGTGCGTTAATTCGCGAGGTTGATATCAAAGGAATTTTTAGATACGCAAATGAGTAAATGAAGATTATTAATTTAATTAAATAATTCCGATTAATTTTTAGTTATCAAACTGCGTTGGATTTGGTTGCCAGTGGAAAAGTGAATGTAAAACCGTTAGTTACGCATCATTTTAAAATTGAGGAAACGGTGGATGCTTTTGAAACGGCTGTTAAATCATTGGGGAATCCCGTAAAAATTATGATTCACGCAAATCCCGAATGGAAAGATTAAAATTATGAAGCTGCATTTATTTTTTTATAATTAAATCAGTTTTTATAAAGAAAATCGACTCCTTTAGTTGATTTTTCAATCCAATCGTCTAACTTTTTAATCATTTCCTCGTCTAATTCCGATTTATAACTATCGGATTTTCCTTTCCTAATAAACTTAACTGATTCATTCTTGACGAAATCGGATTTATTAACCGCTCTGTTTTCTTTCATTTGATCGAAACTCAAATGTTTCGCAAGCTCTTTAATCGCTTCATCGCTGTAAGATTTGTTCATAAACTTTGAAACTTTATTAATAACTCCGATTAAGTCGGAACTCATCTCTTCGTAAGTGATTATTAAGAGATTTTCGCGATGTTTTTGTTCTAAATAAGGCAAAACTGTTGTGAAATAATCACCGTAAAGAACTAGAATTAAAATAATTAATTTTTAATCGATTCAAAATAAATGGTTACCTTCTCCTTTTATATAAGCATCAACGAATTGATTTAAACTTCCTTTAAATACGGGAAAGATATTCGTTGCGTGATGATAATAAGAAAGCACAACTTGTTTTGGGTTTCTAATTACGTGGATTATCTAAAATTATTTAATTAAGTTTTTAGAATCGAAGCTTTAAAAGTTTGATTACTTTAGGTGTTTTAATTCCGTTTACGATTTGCTTTGGTAAAAAATTCCATGGTAAATGGCTCTTAATGTATCGTACTTTTTCATCATCTTCCAATAATTTTATCGGATTAGGAAACGTTTTATGATCGGAATAATCCGATTTAATGTTGTTATCTTCAATAAATTGGCCAACTGCTAAGGCTACACTTGAATATCTAAAGAAAGAATTTATTTAATTTGATTTATTATTTTTAATCTCACTCTATAAATGGAAATCGAATTTCTAAATGTTTTTTAGCCCCCTCGTAATCCATGTTATTACAAACCAACCAAACTAATTCTTGACACCATGTTGTACCTTAAAGTTATACTTTAACAAATTTTAATGATTAATAATTTAATTTTTACCGCATTTCGAATAAGATGTCACCCAAACATCGTTTTGCCTCACTTCGAAATCTTCAATTTCTTTTCTAACTTGTTTAAATGATTCCGGAAGTTTAACTCCATCGAAATCTATACAATTTGCGATTACATAATTCGACATTTTTTGATGTATGGTTAATAACTGAGTGTTTAAATATGATAATGCTATATATATAACTTGTTTTCGGATTTTCTAATGTTTATTATTTTATAAACCAATTGATAAGATAAAATATGATTTAAAACTTAATTGATTATATTAAGCCAGCGTTTCTCAACATGTGGGGCACTATCACTACAACTAACACAAGTTCTAGAACTAGAATTATTCGGGTTAAATGCGGCTAAATCTATTTTCCAGACATGTTGGCTACATTGTCATAGCTCTGTCCGCGAGAGTTTTTAATGTTGAGGTTTATTTGTTCTAATCAACTGTCTTTTGTAAACAATCCGCAGTGTGATTTTCTAGTTTAATGAATCCTATGAATCATTGTGTTATTTGTGTGTGTGATCACAATGGCTTACGTCTGGTGTTGAATCGACGATAATGCTAAAGTATTTGGCTACTTTAATTTCACCACTGAATGTACTTAACATTCTATCTCTAATTATTTCAATAAATTCATCACATATGTAATGAGACAAATAACTAACAGAAGCTCTTCCCTGATTTCCAAATCGACGTAAATGTTTTGCCAAAAAAATCGGCGAAGTTTATTTATTTATTTATTTATGTACAGGGTGGTTCAAATTCGATGTCCGAATAGGCTAACTCGGAAACTGTAAGAGTTAGAAAAAAAGTAGCTTACATGTCATGATCTCGTTTTTCGAGAAACTGCTAATGCCGAAAACCTCATAGCGCTATCGTCTTTTGTTTTTCCGCTAGAGGCTAAAATTGAAAATATCGTAAAACCAGCAAGCGCAATTATCTTGGTTATTATTATAGCTGGAGTATTATAACTAAGACATTATATGGACACTTTTTTACAGAGAATTTGATGACGTAGTCAAAAAAATTTTTTCGGTTTTAGATTTTGAGATATTATCACAATTTTCGTTTTTTTAAATGGAAACAACCACTG